AGGCAAGCTAAACAAATTTTGATTTAAGATTTATAATTTCAAAAAGTGCTAAAAATTTAATAAAAGAACAAACTTTAATTTAAAATTTATTTCATGGGGTGAATTAATGTTTGCGATAAGAAATTTTACATTATTTAGGGGTGAATTAACTTTAGAGATCCAAATCTTCTTTTTCGAATGTCAACTCAACTACAACTGGTGACCGTGTGACAATTAGTTTTAATCGCATTTCAGAACTGTTATTCTTGAAAGTCAGTCAGTTTTGTGCCATTCGTGATACACGCTTAAGCGATCATGTATCTGACGAGGCAAATTTTTTCCCGCAGTAGGCCAGTTACCATCCAAGGCTATAGAACCCGGTTTGTCCTGCTATTTACCCATAGCTGGGGGAGGGAGAAGTAGAGGATTCATACTTTTCCCAAGAGTAATAACACGTGAGTGAATGTAATGGACTCAAATGGAATTCTCTGATTTCGCAATCCATTACTCCACCGTGCCTCTCACCTATGTGCTAATACACTTGGGAAAGGTATGAAACCTCTTCTTCACCCCCCAGCTATGGGTAAATAGCAGGACAGGCCGGGTTCTATAGCCTTAGATGTCAACTGATCTACCGCAGAAAGAAATGGCAACCTACTGCGGGAAAAAAACCTTGCCTTGTCAGTCATGTATTGAAGGATACATGATCGCCTAAGCGTGTATCACACATGGCACATAACTGACTTATTCTTGAAATCAAGTTTGTTTTACAGAGGTTCTTCTTAATGTTCCTGAAAGTTTTAGTAGTCAAGTCTTATAAGCTGCGTAAATGTCAAACGGACTATAAAGTTTAATTAATTTGAATGATACTGATAAATAACGAAGAGGAAGTACCGCTGATTTCAAATTATTCGACCGATTCCTTTGTTGGTAGATATGGGTGCTTTGCATTGGTCTACAATGTGTTATCCTACATGAATGAGCTGCAAAAATGTTTGATGCTTGAATATTCCTGCTTTGTCGTAATGGAAGAAGTGTGACGATCTTGATTTAAAAAAATAAGCATTCTCAACCCTAGATTTGCTTGTGAGTGTTGCTTACTAATCTTCTAGGTAGTAAATTGAATGTTAACTCTCAGTTGCTTTTTCCAATATGCCCCTCACTTTAAAATCAGTTTAAAAACGGCTTCAATTCAAGATATTTAATAAGTGAATACTGATAGCAGCCATTTTCTATATGTTTATGATCACATATGCCGTTTTGGAGTAATGGATAGCGGCTTGGTTTGAGGAATTGGTGAGCTGAATTTGAATTCTAGTCACTTACGTGCTAATACCCTTGGGAAAAGTATGAATCCTCCTCTTCTCCTCCCAGCTATGAGTAAATAGCAGGACAGACCAGGTTCTATAGCCTTAGATGGCAACTGGTCTACCGCAGAAAGAAGTGGCAAACTACTACGTGATAAAAATCTGCCTCGTCAGTCATGTATCAAAAGATACATGATAGCCTAATTATATATCACGCATGGCACATAACTGATGATGCCGTTTAATTGTTTAAATGTAATCTCAAATGCCTTATTTTATTCGTTAGAAGTTGAAAGTGTTGAGTTCAGGAAACACTGTTCTGAAAACAGAGATATGTAAGTTGATCATGGCGCCAAAAAATAAAAAGTTGGTGTGGTGTGCGCTAAATCAAATGTTAAATTTTAAGGCTTCTGTATTTTTTATCTGACCCTCTCATGAAATAAATGTTTGTTTTTTTTCGTCCTGGACATAACGATAAACTACATTCAACAGCAAGGCCTCTGATCGAGAGATGAGAGCATGGAACCACTTCTTATTGTTGTTGTTGTTCCCAGGTCCATCCTGATCCGGGGTGGTAGCACCTGTTAGGGTCCTAGCTATGAGCAAATATTGAACCCCAAACAATAATCAACAATTTACTCTGAATATTTAGATTTCAGCATTAGATAGCCCATATTTTGATATACTGCCAAATAAAAGAAACTCTTTCATGACATTAGTCCATATAATATCTTACAATTTCTTAATTCAAACAGTATTCCAAAATATTCTGTTAGGGTCTCAGAGATAGACAAATAGCACCCCCCTCCCCCCAACAAAATCACTATGAAAGTATAAAAATACATTTTTATAGTAAAAATACCAGCAATACATTTTACATAAAAAAGGTGCTGCTTTAGTGTGTGTCCTACAGATCAGTGTGTCCTACCACCACATTTGTATTTTGTATTTGTTTAATGTAAGGGGAAAAGCAAAGACGTAAGGAGGGATGCCATTTATTGTTGTTTTATAAAATTTAAAATAAAAAAGAAATTTGACTAAAAAATCATAAAACAAGATATATGAATTCTTTAAATAAAAAACATTCTGAATGTCTTTTAACATATCAAGAAAAAAAGTAGAGACAATGCCTTAATAATGTAGAATACAAATGTGGTGGTAGAAACTGATCGGTAGGACACACACTAAAGTGACACCAAAAAAAAATTACCAAAAATTCATTTTATCAGCAGTTGAAGGCATATAATTGTATTCAAAATATTTAGATTTTAGCATTAAATAACCCATGGAGGTGTTGATATGCCACTAAACAAAATTAACCAACACATTTTTTTTCTTTAATCTATTATTCCACTGTAAACTTTTTCTTTTGATCTTAAATACATTTTTTGGAGTTTGTATTTATTTTCTGGAAAAAGACCTATAGACTTTTTTGACATATTAAACTTGCAAAAACATTTAGATAAGTTAATGATTAAATGTTTAGAGAGAGAAAAAAAGATGAAAATTAATGGTAGTATTGATTTTAGATAAATTATACAACTCAGTTCAATAGCATTGTGATAGATTGAGGCCAAGATGATTAAATTATTCTTTTCTCTAGTTTCCAATTCCAGCACAGCATAAAGTGGCTGAAGACCCCCATCTCCCTCCAGTGTTGTGGATGTATCAAGACGTTTTACCATAAAAATGAAATCCTTTCTCCTACAAAATTCCACAATCCTTATGGTATTATGAGCAAAGCAATTCTTGAAGCACAATTTTGGCAGGAAAATGTAGCAACCAAATCCCATTTACACACACCTTAGAAGCTTGTGTAACTTCAACATTGAAATTTTTCAGATGAAATAACCTTTGTCTCACATGTGCATCCTCTAGAATATTTTCATCTGGAAATTCCAATCTCTCAAGCAATTGTCCCATTTTTAGAATTAATTCTCTGTAGATGAAAAATTATTTAGAAAACAATAAAATGTAACTGAGGAAACATTTTCTAATTGATTTCTCAAATAGTAACCTGAAATATTTACAATAGTCTATTTGCTTTGATTTTTTCCCAGCAGTTGTCTTCTAGCATTTGATATATCTTATCAATGTTTAATAAATAAAAAGCTCTTTAGTTGTATATTTATTTAAAAGACAGAGGCAGATTTTTTTTCAGTTTTTATTCAACATTTAAAAACCTTATTTCTGATTTAGCATAATAACAAGTATATCTGACATAAGTACAATGTCCAAAAGCCAAATACTGAAATATTAAATACTTAACAGACAGAACCTGCAAAAAATATTAGTAAAAATAAATAATAAGCAAATTAAAACTGCAATTTGTTATTTCCTAGGAATTTTCAAATCTAATTTTTAAATTATTCATTTTTGGTCAATATAATAAGGTTCATTTTCTGCCACATGCACACCATTCACACGATGCAATCATTTTCTTTTGGCGTTAACAGCAGATCTGTTGTTAAAGTGTTTTCAGTGGGGAGGGGAAGCCTTTAACTCACTAAAATCAATTCAAATCATTTTCCTCTTGGCTACCCCCACTTGGCATATAAGCCTGATATAATTTTGTTACAAACAAGACTATCTTTTTGTCTACTTTTATTTTCCTGCATCCCAGACAGGTAAAATTTTACTGTATCTCCATGAGTTCATGATTAATCTAGATGCCAGCTCATAGTGTCCAATATCAAAATAGATTGAAATAATTCTGTCACAAAATAAGAGAAAAAGAACTCTTGACTATATGGTATCAAAAACGTTTTTTTCTTTTTTGGTCACTTAAACCAGATTTGCATTCTAAATGGAATCAAAATGACCAAAGGCCCAAAGAATTCTGAAGAGAAGGAATGGCACTGGAAGCTATATAAAAAAGTAAAAATTTCCATTGATAATTTTTCAAAATTCATATTTAAGATTCAAATTTATTCTTAATATAAAAGCAATAAAATTGTAAACAGATATCTTCTCATCTCAGGATTTAAATATTTTTTTCTGAAAGATTTGAAAAGTGATTTATAACAAAATTTTAAGAAAATAATTATAAAATACTTAACAACATTATTATTGCTGAGCTTAGCTTAAGACAGCACAAGACCAGATTAATAGACAGAAATATCTTGTTGCATCAATCACCAAAATAGAGAAAGTCTAACCTGCCTTAGAAATCAGCATTTGAAACTGACTGACATAAGACATTTTACCTGGACTTGAATACCAACCACAAATCAAGGCTGATTACCAAATATCTATTAACACTAAACATCTTCACTGGGAAGTAGTGGTTAACAAGCTAGCTCTGCTGACCATTGTGACTTTAAGTAAATATCAATAAACCTATACATGTTTATAGTATAAATAGATTATGATTAAATTTATTTGCTGACAAGTTGTCCTTAGTTCAGAATAAGAATATTAAGCAGTTATGTGTAATAATAAATTCACCGGAATTATTTCTGGATTTTGATTTTCTGAGATTGTCTTCAAATATCCAGACATGAAAACAAAAGAAATTATAACAATAATCATATAAGATTAGATTAGATTATAAGGGGTGCTGATGTTTTTTTTGTTTTTAATAATTGTCTTAAAAGTCTTTAACAAGGATGTAAAAGTAATAGTCAGTTCACAAAAATATAATTTAATCTTTCATTCTCTAAAAGGGAAAATTTTTTTTCATGGTCCCAAATCGTTTTTGTGAAATTTAAAATATTACAGTTTGCTGACTGGTTTCATTGACCCAATAACTGGATGGTGAGAAAAAGATTTCCACCAAGATGGACGCTCAAAGACATCTTCTCCTTGAGTCATTGCACTGTAAAGATGTTTGTAAATCTGAAAAGAATACAAAACAGAAGTATATTTAATTAGGTTTGTAGTATCATATGCAAATTAGATAAACAAGTATAAACAGAGAACAACTGGTGAAGATAAGGGGGCTATACCTAAAAAACCTGGTTGCTATTCAGGACACGGGGAACTGTACTACTGCTACGCAGAGAGAAAGGCAAAACATAACACAGTTAAAATAAATAAAAATAATCAATTGATTTCTAAATTAAAATGTAGTTATAACAAGTTTAATATTCATTAAATTTAGTTTATGTTGGGTACCCAATGAGGATCAAATTTATAATAGTACTGGTCACTTGCTAACTACTCTTCTCTGGTAAATAATCCAAACTGAAATTTACTAAGATTCAAACAAGTATACTCTCATCTTGATCATCAGGTTTCAGCTGTTGTACCCTTTGGCCTTCTTCAGGTGTCTGTACAAGTTAACATGTTTAGAACTTTCAGCTAAACACTTTATTCAATCCACAAGGATAGATAGTTATTTCAATTTCCATACCTAAAGGAGATGGCTCATATCAGTTAATTCTCTCTAGCCTATTTATTACTTGTCCATTCCTTTCACTGAACCAGTGTATGACTTTTCCACACTATCCCACTCAGAGATTGAACTCACAGTTGCCAAGAAACCAGATATTTGGGAGGAAATTGATACACACTCACCTCTCCACTGGAATGGCCAATTGGTGAATTGAGAATGAAATCTGAAGGTGCCACTGCATCCACCAAGGCCACAGCATCATCTTTCAACTCATGACACAATTCTAAGATTGTTGTTCGAATCAATTTAGCAGGCAACTCTCCAGTGCAATAACCACCTACAATGAGAAACAAAAAATTTTCACTTTTTAAAGAAAATTATCCATTACTTCAGTTTCTACTGCATTCTTTTTCAAGTTACTTTCACCATAAAAACTTTACCAATTTCAAAACTGTTTTTTCTGTTGCCATAGCAGGATATGACAACACAAATGCAAGCAAGCAATAATTCAGCAAATGAAGTCATGTGAAGTGGCAGGACAAACTTATTGCTTGGCAAATGAAGTTGACAGCAGAATGCAAATAGTCAAGTTATGATTCAATATGAATAAATTAATGTATTATTAACTTTCAAGAGCATTTGGATTCATTTTGTGTGCTTAAAAGGACAACTACAGAAGCCAAGATTCCAAATGTTGATTTTCAATGCATGCAGACCTTCCCAGGCCAGGTTAAATTGAAACAAAATGCCAAAAGTTTTTAAAAAATAATACAAGATTGATTTTCTTGGAGGCCACAAAGCTGACTTCATATGAAATGCTATTCTCTACTTCCTTTACAAGGCAAAACAAAACTTAACTCACCTTGGTAAAGAGTGACCATGTGCTTTTCTATGCTCCACAAGCCAAACAAACTAGCTATTTTCAAGAGGACAGAGAGTAATTCTTCATTGCCAGTTGTGTTCTTCTGTTGACCAAAGAGGAAATCACAAAATCGACTTAATATTGTCAATTCTATGTAAGCCAGGGCTAAAGTACGGCAATAGTACACTTGGCTGTCGTTGTTGGCAGTGAACATTTCCTTTCCACAATTGAGTTCACTTTGCAATTTGGCACTGCTGTCTACTGAGAGTTTGCAAACCAACCACCGGTAAGCATGCAGAGAAACTACAGAAGAAAGAGAAAAAAAATGTCATTAAAGACATACAAAAAATAACAGACAAGGAAACCACTCCACAGAAGGAGAAAAAGATTTTGATTTTTAAAATAAAATTTAGATGGGTGCAGGTAAATACTTTGGGTTTCATTTTATTTCCTGTACTTGAAGCATTCAATCTCTAGTCAATAAGACCAGTTATGGCTCAAAAGAATATCATTAAGCAAGGGACCAAAACAAAAAAAGAAAGGATTATACAACTAAAGAAGGCCAGTTCATATTGACCCCAAAACAATTAAGGTACAGAAAACAAAATAGAAAATGAAAAAAAAAAAAAAAGGCCCAATTTTTAATAAGTTAGCAAGGTAACCTATCATTGTCTTTCACAATCTCTACTACCATTCATCATAGTGTTAGGAGGGATAAAAAGAGGAAAGTTGGTTTTAGGCATTTCTTCAAAGACAGTATACCAAAAGTAATATAAACAGTCATGAACAAAAAAGTACAATAAAGAACAAGTTTCAATTTTATTTCAATTTGCATCAATTTTTATTTTAGAAAAGAAAAAGAGTTTAGGCTAACAGGTGCAAATACAAGGCATTTTTTAAAATAATATAACTATAGGTACAGATGTGTATATACCAGTGGTCAGTGTTGAAGCACAGGTAAAAGCCAGGATTTCAAAATGTTGGTTTTGCAGACATCAGTTAGGATTTCCATTTGGAGCAACTAAATCTTTCTACTCTCCACCTTGCTCTCCCCTCCTCCATTTTGGGCTTGTGCCAAACTGAATTGAGCTTAGTATCTACTGTCATCTCAAACCTATGGAAGTTGTCAGCTGTCTGCTTTGTCTTCAAGAATGTGGGGGAATGCTCATCCTTGTCTCAATATTGAGCCACCAAACACCTTAGTCTCATCAGTAAACTGAGTCTATGATCAACAAGAAGGTTGCTGATCCCCTGAACATAAACAATATCCTGAAAAACAAACAATATGAATTTCACTCTTCTAGGTTCTAACATTGATAACACGCAGAATCAACGAGGCAATAGATAATAATTTCATAATGAGAGCAACCACCTTTGACAAGATGTGGCATAAGTGGTTACTATACAAACTCTCCAGTTATGGAATCTCAGCAAAAGTTCTCATAGCCATCAAGTCCTTCCTATTGGGTAACTCCTTGAAGGTCATTGTCAATGGTCAGGTTTCTGAAGGCCATGAGATGTAGGTGTTCACATCGCTCACATTTTAGTCCTACCATCTTTCTGCTTTATATTAACGATTTGCCTAAGAACATTATCAGATCATTAGTAAATATTTATGCATATGATACCACATTTTATGGATGCACCTCCAAAATGACCAGAGCTTGGTAGCTGATTTCTCATCTGACAGAGCTCTAAAAGCCCAATGGATAGAAAAACTAGCTTCTAACTTTTAATACCCACAAAACCAGGATAGTAATTTTTCATCATCATTGAGCTGATCCTGAATTCTGACCAATCAAGATGAATGGTTGCACTCTCAAAGAAGTTTCTTGCTTTGAGGGTCTATTGGGAACTAAAATTAAATTGGTATGATCCATCACTAAATATGATGGAAAAATAGTTGGTGCCTTACATTGCCCCAGAAAACATTTGAATCTATCTGCCACACTCTCTCATTACAAGAGTCAGATCAGAGTATTGCTGCCATTTCTAAGATGAAGCTGCCCAATCCTTACTTTCCAACCTCAACAGAGTTCAAAAGCAGTTACACGCCCTTGTAGATGATGAATTATTTTCTACCCTACCTCTTTTCCTTAGACGCAGCTTTGTGACTATTGTTACTCTTTCACTATTTCCATGGAAAATGTTCAGATGAGCTACATCCTCTAGTTCCACAGTTCAGTCCTTTACAGCTAAAACCCACTCTGCCACGTCCACAGAGTTGAATCATCCTCATTCCCTTTATATTCCATTGGTAAGAAGGAAGTTGCATTTTTCTTCCTAAGTGCAGCAGCTTTGTGGTGCAGACTCCCAAGAAAATGTTTCCCTAACCACTCCAAGTCCAGGGTCAACCATTATCTATCCTATATATTATCATAATCCATAATTCTTATGTCCATAAAACAACCTCATTCAGTAACGCTCTACTCTGAGTAGCTCTTGGGCTTTGTATTGAATGATCAATAATGTAAATAAAAGTTAGATTTTCCTTTTTTCCACTGAAAGAGTTATGTGTGGTGTCTGTCGGTTTTACTTGCATTGTCTCTAATGCACATCGACGTCCTTTTCATGTTTCTTACTCATTTCTTTTGTAGAACAGTTTGTTTTGGTAAAAAAAAACAAAAAACAAAAAAACAACCATGGCACAAAATATATCACATGGCATGATGGAGTAAAAATAAAGCCTGTACCAAGGATGGACATGACAATTCTTCTTTATAGTTTAATCAATTTAACTTCATTTAACAAAATATAAAGCATCATCTCCTACAGACTGGATCGAACTAAATCATACAGTCTATATGGATCCATCCCTGATATTTCTACAATCTTAAGCAAATACAAAATGCACTTTGCAGGACAGTGATGACAAACAAAACAAGGACTCTCGAGTGATCTACTGCTCTGGACACCTAACCACAGAGCAAGGTGAATTGGTTGCCCAGCAACCAACTACATTGACCAGCCTATATTATGACACAGAATGCCACTCTAATGATCTTCTGACTTTGATGCAGGACAGTGATAGTTAGCATGATAGACTCATGAATGTCTGAGATAATTCAACCGAATAAAAGTTCATTATAGCAATTTCTCATGGTAGCAAAAACATGAATAGCTTTATATAAAGGTCCAAATATCTACAGTAACAGTGAATGTGCTGACTTGGCAATAATATGTATAAACTGCTTGGCAAATCTGAGACAAAAATATTTTCATTTTTACACAGAGTTTCATTATTTCTTCTTTTTGTTGTTTTTCATCTCAACATTTCCATCCTTCTACAGTTGGTACTTTAAACTGCAGGAATTTGAAACAAGGAAATAGTTTCTGATGAGGCTTGAACACACTTAAATATGCTTGCAATTTTGGTTGAGGGACTGACTTGTAAGATATCAACAATAATAAGAAAATTGTCTGCAGGATTTTATTTTATTTATTTATTTGATGAACTTTTCATGAATAATTTTTTTTTTGTTGCTTTACTCAAAATGATTTTCTCAAACATTTGATACAAAATAATGGAAATAATTTCTAGCCAATTCCTAAACAAAATTAAGATTCTCACCTTCAGGGTTTTTACATTCGTTGACAGTTTCAGCATAAAATTTGGTCAGCAGTATTGAATCCAAGTCATTTATGAAATTCACTGTACCCAAAGGTGAATTTAAAATGCTGTCTATACAAAAGAAAATTTTTTTTATCAGTCATAAAGCAATCCATATGCAAGAAAGGATCATTTATGTATATAAGTGGACACCGAGGCCACCACCTAATGGCACACAGTCTGTTTCATGCTTGAAAACAATCTTGTGTTGAAGCACGAAACAGATTGTGACCACACAATGTTGACCTCAGTGACCACTTTTATATTTACATACATTCTATTATATTGTATCAGACAAAACATGCACTCTCCGGCAGGATTTTTATTTATTTATTCTAGCGTTCTTACATTTTTCTGTTTGGTGGGGATAAGGGAGTATAAAAATTGCCCGTAATGTCTATTGCCACTATCACTTTCAGCCCCTCTTCTTTAGCCATTTTCTAGGGATTTTTTGCACTCTACATGAAACATGTGGTACCCAGTATTAATATCACATTACTTTTTTTTTAAGGCAATTCACCCCAAAGTATATGTATATTACGATTTTTAAACTTTTATATTTAAAAATTATTTAAGTAATATTTATGGTACTTACTGGAAAAATAGCTAATTCATTTCTCAGATTTAGTAAACTTTATTAATTAATTTATTTATTTATTTAAATATATATAAACTAAGTAATAAAGTTTCATATGTATGTACAAAGGACATGGGTCATTCACAGGCCTACATCATCTAGCTTTTCGTTATAATTTCATTTTTCAGTAGGTGTTTTATTGGATTCATTTTAGTGCCGATAGTACTTTTTGTTAGAGGTGTTTAGGTTAGCATACATTTTATTTAACTGCAATTTTTAAAAGATGCTTAGGTTAGAATTCGTTTTAACTACAATTTTAAATACAACCTTAAAATATTTTCACTGTTATTCCAATAGACTTTTTTTCTTTTTTTTTATAAAGAAAAAACAAGTAAATGTAATATAATTACTTACAGTATATAAAATTATTTTTCATGTTAAATATAAGTATGTATACTACCTGATTCCCTCCCCTTTTTTTTTTAATTTATTTTTATCTTTAAATTTTTAAATATTATTTAAGGAAAATTTTTGACAATGACAGCATATAATAGCTATTTCATTTCTCTGATTCAGTAAATTTTTATTTTTTATAAACTTAGTAATATATAGTTTCTCGTGTATGCACAAAAGGACATGGGTCGTTTAATGACCTACATATTCTAGCTTTTCTTATTAAATTCCATTTTTACTGTAGGTGTTTTATTTGATTCTTTTAGATGCCAGAAGTATTTTGAGAGAGATGTCTGATTTTTATATTTATTTATTCTAAATGAAGTTTGATGTTGGTTGAATCTTTTTTTGAATTCATGGCTAGTGCAACCTATATATATTTTTATGTTTTCAGGACTTTCAATCGAAGAGATATTGCATTGGTATACTAATGATTCAGTGCAACATTTATTTTGTAGAGGGCAATTATGAGGGTTTCTACAGTTACATAGTTTTTGTTTATTTCCATCAGTTTTTATCTTTATTTTTCCATTGTCTAAATTTTTTTGGTTTTGGTATAAGTGTTTATTTAAGATATTAGCATTATGGTTCTTAATGATTTTTTCTAAGTTTTCTGTACAGCTATAACTCAATTTTAGTGTGTTTTTATTGAAAATAGTACTTAGTTTACTTTCACTAGGAAAATGCTTGACTATTAATGCGAGGAATTTATGTCCTAATTTGTTCTTTACCATTTGGTTGTATGGGGGAGTATACCAAATAATTTTTCTACATCTGTTTTTTCTATGCTTTCCATTTTCATTTTTTATATAAGTTAGTTTTGGGTTTTTGTAGCCACACTCTTTTAGAGCCTTATTATAGGAATTGATATGCTCATCAAAAATCTTGTCATTTGCTGAATTTGTACTAATTCATTTACTGATAGATAACGGTATATGTTCAATTATAGATGGGGGGATGATTTGATTTAGGGTGAATATATAAAGGATTGGTGTTGGTTTTTTTATAAGGTGTGTATGTATTTTTATTTAGATCTAATGTTATATCTAGGAAGTCCACTTTTTTAAATTTAGTACTAACCTAGGTACCTCCACGAAATCGCTAAAAAAAGAGCATAGCTTGATGAAAAAGACGCCAAACTTGCCGAAAACTAAATTTTATTGTCTAAATGCTTATGTTATTATTAAGAGGAAAGACCAAAGTTTTTTTTCAATTATTTTAAAAAAATTTTCCTTCTTTTTAGAACATTCTAAATTTTGATTAAAAAACCTTTTTTTCTATTTGTATCATGGAACTAGTAAATAATATAGACAATTTTTAGCACGTTTTTTGGTATGACACATTAATTTGAAAAATCGTGCAAAAATAGAAATAATTATCGGATGTTAATGAAACTTTCAGGAACTATTCACAGATGATCGAAATTATTATAAATATGTTTTTTTTATGAAAGTCATGGTAGAAATATTTTTTTAAAATATTTATTACCCCCCATAACTAATTTTATGAAAACGCTAGAAATTGATCGATCGGTTTTAGTGATTACAATAATTAAAAGCACAGGGCTTTGAGGAATGCAAATCATGTTTTTTTTGTTTTTAATTGGATACGCAGTACCTGAAAATCAGCTCTGAATTGTAACATACAAAACTCAATAAAACAAATATATTATTTAATTTCAAATGCTTTTATTTGCTTTTTAGTTGTTTTTATGAATATGGACAATATTTTCTGAAAGCAAAAAAATTTTTTCGATGAAAAATGAATTTTAATACAATTATTTGTTATTTCATTAATTATAATAGATTTTACATTTAAGTTGTTAAAATATTATAAAATTAGTTAAAAGTCGCATCGGCTTTCATAAGTGTCCTTATGAGAGATAGATCTTTTTTAGCGCATTGTAAATTGTATCATTTTGACTAATCAGAAGATACCCAGTAATTAAGAAATGTAATTTTGTGCTTATAATCGAGCTGTAATTATAAAATACGGAAGACCAACCAGAATATAATTAAGTTGCGTTATTTGAGTTAAGCATTGTTCTCCGCTGTTAAGGCCTTTACTTTTGCGAAACACGTGTGGAGAAGTTAATTTGATTTTTCAATTTCAACTGAGAAGGGTACCTACAAGTATCAGTATCATCTTATGAAATTTATATGATCTTATTTTTATATTAATCTCAGTTATGACATTTTTCCATAAATGAAATATCAAAATTAATAATAAAATGAATGCAAATAACAGTAGAATGTAATAAATTTACATAAAATTATAGTATTTTATGTACAATTCTGATAAAATTTCATAAGAAAGGTACCTATAAATTAATTAGATACCTTTTTATGAAATTTAATGTCACTCTTAACAGTTTTATTTTAACTTCTTTAGAATATATTTCCCATAAAGCATCATAAACGTAAAGGTGAAAGCTAAGTACAAAAAAAAAAAAAAAAAAAATTAGACCGCTGAAAGTTTTCGTTAAAAATAACGGGGTAAATAATTTGTTCACGTAAATGTAAATTATTTCACTTTTCTCCTTCCGTAGAACAAATTAGCCTCATGGAATTAAGTAAATATATCATTCATCACATGTCAAGAGACGCGAAAGTTTATGACCTGCTTTGTTTTATTTTCAAATTACATTTTTTGGCACAAAAAAGCTAAGTTAAGTTTGGTTCAAAATATTTTAAATAAACATTATAATTTCTGATTTTCTTAAAATAAGTTTTGAAAAAAATGATAATTGATATTTAAAAAATTTCAAAGTCAGATTTCCAGTTTTTTTAAAATGGAAAAAAAAATGGTCAATTTTGCTGACTCAAAAAAAAAACTAGATTTTTAACAAAAATTTTGGACGTGCTAGAACGATTAAAAAATGGAAAAAAAATACCCAAAAATACTTTGATCTTTCCTCTTAATAACAAACATTTAGACGATAAAATTTTGTTTTCGTCAAGTTTGGCGTCTTTTTCATCATGCTATGCTTTTTTTTTAGCGATCTCGTGGAGGTACCTATACTAAAAAATTTTAAGCATCTTTTGCTTTTAAATTCTTTATAAGGAAACTTTCTAATTATATATATATATATATATATATATATATATATATATATATATATAAAACATTACTACTTTACTCAAAAATCGAAAACCAAATAGAGTAAAACAAAAATATACAAAATAAAAAATAAGTAAATAAATACAAAACAAATAAAAATTAATCCAAAAAAATAAATAAATGAACAAATTAACAAATCGCCCCCCCACTAAAATAACCATTAGAACTAAGAAAAAAAAGCATAAATAAACAAATAAAAATAATCAATCCAAATAAATAAATTAAAAAGTGTTCCCCCACGCCGCCTGCCAAAATAACAGAATAGACTATGGCAAGCAATCTAAACATTAGACAAATAAATAGCTTTAATTATCTTCCCGGATCAAAACAAACTATTAAATAAGCGATCTAAGCATATCATTTTTTTTTTTTACTATGTTAATAAATCATCAAAAACCTAAAAGAATAAATAATACAAAATGGAAATGTAAAACAATAAAATAAATTAACCCAAACAAATAAATAAATAAATAAACAAACAAGCCGCTCCCCAAAAATAATCACCAGAATAGATTACCGACAATGCACCATATATATATATATATATATATATATATATATATATATATATATATATATATATAGTTATAGGAAAAATCCAACAATCGCAGACCTAACAATTGCGTCTAGCATATGAAACAGCCTGTTGCATCTGAGTGTTGACATCAATGTTCACTTTTTATATATATATATATATATATATATATATATATATATATATATATAAATTGTCGCCAATTTATATTTTTAATTTCACACATTGCACATTGTTTGTTTTTGATTTTGTTGACTGCACAGTATAGTAGGGTTAGTTGGGCAGTGTCTGTGAGAAAAAGAGCGCCATGATGCAATTCAACCCACTATAAATTTGGAAATGGTATACTGTACTGCTTGGCATTTGCACTGAAAGCTCCAATATAAACATTTCAGATTTTAGTTTTATATAGTATTGTAGGGCTAGTTTGTCAAGTTTTGATAGAGGTTCGTTTGCTTCTAATTATAAACTTTCTGCAGGAGATGTTCTAAATGTTCCAAGCATCAATCTTAAACCTTCATTGTGATGAAAGACATGGCTTACCTCAGGATTCGAAACGAGCGCGAATGTGTCTTGCCTGCAAAGTGATGACAAAAGGAAATATGGCCGCTATTGAAGACACAGTTTATGCGCACCTATCTTGTCCAAAATGAAACAATATTTGCACACATGCAAATTTTGGCCATATTGAAATAGCATAACAAGTGGAGTGCCAGCACCACAACAGGACCAAAGTCATTCAGCAGATAGTGTGCAATAGAGTTGGATGTATGGATTGATAGACGGACAAAGAGGAAGTCGAAGTAGGTGTGGCTGAGCTGGTGTCTGTTTTACAACTGCCCAGTGTAACAGTTGAGAAAGGGATCCATTTCCTTGAGGCGACCGAAGAAGAAAAAATAGGTGGTCTGTCAGCGAGCACTGCACTGCACTTATTCCTAAGAATTTGTACTGCTTATTTGTTGACCACGAATAATAAATCCTGGTAGGAGTTGTAATTATCTCAAAAGTGGCTCACAGTAAAGTCGGAATTAATCTAGTAAACTTAGCAAATAGCAATAAAACCTTTCTGATTTGAAATTATAAAGTAAAAAGAAATCAATCCACTTACTTGGGTGCTTTTGTTTATGAGCGAACATACTGAGGATGTAATTGCTGGTTTGACGCAAAATGACATTGTTGTCCCCTTCGTATGTGCAATTTGGGTCGTTGACATTGCGCAATTCCCCAATACGATTTACTGCAATAGAAAGATAAGAGAGATGTAAAAGAAGATAGAAAGAGAGTAGACTTGCTGTGAGGGAAAGAGTAGAGAGAGAAGTTAGGTAAAGATAAATGATGTAGAGAAACAGAATTCCAAATGCAGGCATGAAAACAAATTCCTTCTGTGTTACCTACAACCATATCATAATCAGGAAGACAAAATTAAAATCCCATAATTCTAATAAGCTTTATTCCTAATACCAAAAGAAAAATATGCAAAACTATTAGATAAATAATAATAATAGTTATATATATCAGAGATAGAGCATATGTAAATATAAATATAAAAGTGAACATTGAAATCAACACTGAGAAGTGACAGGCTGTTTCATGGTGTTGCCTCTGAGTGTTGACTTCAATATTCACTTATATATATATATATATATATATATATATATATATGAATGAAAACAAAAAGAAAACTTAACCAACATCTTTTGTCCTCTGAGGAACTGTATCATGGCAAATGTAAGGATTTTATTTTGTAATAAGTATTTATATACAAGAGCGAAAATATTATTAATTTTATAAATACTTTGGCATATGAGTGCTCATGAATATTCATCAGTTTAGCATAAAAGTCCAGCAAGTTCATGGATGTGAGGTGATAAAGTCAATGCCTAATAAAAAAAAAAGGGAATAGGAGGTTTCCTTTACTTTTTTTTTTTTTTTTAACAAATAAACTATTTTTTGTTCTTTTACAGACATACTCAATCTGAAATTTTTTACACACATATATATATATCAAACTGGACCATAAATATACTGGGACTATATACCATCTGGTTTATGCTCCTTCCCAGTCTTTTGACCAGCAGTGGTTTATCCTGTGTTTAGGATTGGATTTCTGATTCCTTCTAAAGTCTTCTCATTCTCTTTCATTCCCAGTAGCCTTTTGCATCTCAGTGGCATTATTGCCTTGCCTGGGGTTGATTTATATATATATATATATATATATATATATATGCCCACACACACTTCCTCCAACCACACAATAAGCAATCTAGACATCATGACTATGTATAATCCTCATCATTATTCCTAAAATGAAATTAAAAAAAATTTTTTCACATACAAAAATGACGTATCTGATAGCTTAATGTTTACCAAGACACTCATGACTAATAAATATGTCCAGCTTAAATTTATAAAAATGTAATACTAAATTTAAATAATAGGTGGGGTGAGAAATGCATTGAAATAAGATAATGTGGTGGGAATAGAAGTTGCATCTTTAAAAGAAAAACATTTTTATTGTAGATAATGTTTTGAGAGTATTAATTAAAGCAAAAAAAAAAAAAAAAGAAGCAACTTCTTATTTACCTTCAAGGTAACCATTTCCTCCACAAGCCTCTCTGCATTCCTGTATGCCATCACGAGCCAACCAACTGCTGAGGGGTTTGCATGCACAGGATATTGCATGGATTTCACGGACCAAATTCACCTGAAAAATCAACAAGTACAATTTGATATTGTTGTAGAGTAGGACTCAGTATGCTTCCTACTATAGTGACAATGGACTGCTCCTATTTATAAATGTGGCAAGTAGCTATATTAGATTAGGATTTGAGGAGTAGTTGATTTACTCAAGTTTTTTCAGTTCTATGAATGAAAATTTAATAAACCTCATCTTCTTTGTTTTCCCTGCCTGGTCTTCTTGTTCCTTTGATACTCTAACGACGACCTTCTTAATTCTCGGCTGTTTTGAACAAACACAACATGACAACAGATATGTCTATATATTTGTTGATTGAGAAAACAGTAATTAAAAAAACGTGCCAAGAAGGGGCTGCAAGATTGAACAAGGCTAGAACTTACCATGTTTTCACTCTTGTCTCCTATCATCCGGGCCACTCGCACTCCAACAAAATCAGCAAAGATTACTTTGCTGAAATAATCTATGCAGTACATCACAGCTATGTAAGGAATGAGACGCCATTGCTGAAATACATGAGATATGCAAACACAAAGGTATGGGAATCAATTAGCTTTGATGGGAGGGGGTTGCTAAAAATAACTACTTGAAGGGGAATAAAAACCCTTTCAAAAATAAACATTAAATTATAAACACAAACATTATTAACTGCAAAAAAAAATCATGGACTTATTTGAATAACTATGATTTTATATATGCAGGGTGTCCATAAAGTTCATGTGCACTTTAAAAAATTTATAATTTTATTTGTATTTGCGATACAAATAATTTGTAAAAAGGATTAGAAAGAAGTAAATCTATATTTTTTAAGGTTTTATTGAAATTTTATTTAAGTTTCCACATGTCCTCCATCATTAGCAATACAAAGGGTAATATGATTTTGCAGTTCACAGAAAACATTTGCCAACTGATTTACAGTAATGCCTGAAATCACAATCACATTAGTTATTTTAGCTATACTTAAAACTAGGTACATTAAACTTTATAACATTTTTTACAGATTATTTCTATCGCAAATACAAGTTATAAATTTTTAAAGTGCACACATGAAGTTTATGGACACCTATATATATATATATATATATATATATATATATATATATATATATATATATATATATATATATGATGATGTGTGTGTGTGTGTGTTTTGAACAATAAAAGTATTAAAAAAATTAAAATTTTCAGGCACATTGGGTTGTATATTAATATTTTTTGTTTTATTATTTCAATTAGGTTCCTCGACTAGTTTCAGCCAGCATGGCCATCATCAGGAGAAAAAAATCCCAGAGTGAATGACTGTATCTGAAGAAAGTGAACTTTATCTGTAGTTTTTATTTGTTTTTTTTTTTCGTTAATTTTGGTCAGTCCTTGTATTGGTTAAACGGCCTCGTTGTTTTTAAGATAGAGGCTTGGAAGATTCCTGAGTCTCAGAATTCCCTCTTTGGTCATTTTGACAGTTTTATTGGTTGCTGGTAAGGGAAAGTGTGTGTTAAGTGTATGTTATCTTTTAGTTCCTGAGTCTCAAAATTCTCTCCTTATATAACTTCTGTCATCAAAAAATTAGAGTAATATTTAAGCAATTTTGAAATTGCTTGTGTTATATATTTTTTTACTAGTAATCTACTATTTTTAGCTATACAATCAATTAACACATGTAAAAAAGAATGATTTTAAAAGTAGAATTCTAAGTAAAAAACAGCCAAATAAAAAAAGTTTTAAAACAATAATATATTAGCAATAAATCTCATCTACTCACTAATGAAATATTGTTGTTATAATAACAAAAAGCATTTGCTTATTGGCACCAAGTAATGATAGCAGAATATCTCATTACTAAGGAGGGGAGATAAAGCTACATAACTGAGAACTGTTGTGAACAGTCCAGCAGGCAACATAGTAATGAAAACTGGGTCAGAAATCCAACTTTTCCTTCATAACAGCAGAAACGCACTTATGCTCATCAACCTTAAAAGTTGTTCTGTCTTTATTCACTGAGCAATTTTTCTGATTGACCACACAATTCAAGGAGGAAAGAACATTAGTATAGTCGCTCTGATACTTAAAGTGTCAGGTTTTTGCTATTTTCTTTAATTTTCCTTCAGCAGACCATGCACAGAAAACACAAACTCTTTTTCAAGGTAGGTGATTGTCTCTTTCATTACAATTTGAAATCCTGACTTTTAACAAAGCTTGAAGAACAAACAATGGCACTAATATGCAAAAATATCAATTTGCAACCTGCTTTAGGACTGAAATAATTCCATACTTCCCATTAGTGATTGAATTTGAAAATTAGGATTTTGAACGGTCATTTTGAAGACAGGTTTGCTTTGTTTTTTTTGACAGATTATGAAATCCTTTGTGGGTTATTTAAAGCTGATACACACTCAGATTGTAGGAGGTCAGTTACACTATCCAGTGTTCCTAAACAGTCCTCCATCTAAATTTCATGACAGGTAAGTAAGCCTTCTTCCTATCAGCATTTGGAAAGTTCAGTTAAGTCAGGAATCTGAATGGTCATTTTCATGGAAGATTACTACAATGTAATTTTCATGTACCTTATTGCCCTCCCCGACACACATCCAAAATATTTGGCCTTGTGCTTTTATTTGGTCAACAGCAAACATGACATTCCAAAGAATGACAAGTCCACAGCCAGAAGAATAGAATAAAGAGAAGGTCATTTAGATGTGCATTGTGGTGTAATGAGAACTTGGAGGGCCAAGTTCAAATCCCAATCAAGTTTGTTATATTCATTTACACACAAATACCCTTGGGAAAGGTATGAATCCATCACTTCTCCTCCCAGCTATGGGTTGAATAGTAGGACAGATTGGGTTCTTTAGCCTTGGTTGGCAACCAGTCTACCGCAGAAAGAAATGGCAACCTACTGCAGGAAAAATCCTCTGCCTCATCAGTCATGTATCAAAAGATACATGATCACCCAAGCATATGTCACTTAACTGACTGACTGACATTCATTTTCTTTCTCATCAAGACTTCTTCATTTATTTCCAAACGAAACCTATCATCAGTCAGATTATTTGGTTTAATGCAGAAATATTAAAATCTCAACTTACCTGCAGTTGATATTCAAGGATTGGAATTTCTTTATTATTTACTGGACCAAATTGGTGCCTGACAGCTGAATATCGAATGGCAATTGTCATACAGACCTTCAGTAACGATGATGCAAAACCTGTAATTCCAACTCGGCCATCAGACAAGGCACCAAGTGAAGCACTAAACCTTTTACTTCTCTGAAAAACAAAATATTATTAGACAAATAAAAATCTATTTAGGTCATATAATACCAAATATCATTTCCTTTTGTGTTAACAAATATATTTACGAAGCATTCACCATAATTCTAGTTGTTTTTCATTGGAACTATTAAGACTTTTCTGTTTTCTGCAGTTATCAGCAAAAGCAGGATGGATTGAAAACAGTCATTTGGCAAAACTTCAACTCATATTGCACTTTTGTCTCTGGAACACTGATTTTCCATGACAGCTGCTCTACCAATTTAGCTCCAGGATATTTGTGATTAGCAAAAAATCAAATCTAACTATATAACTTTAATCTTTATTCACCTCCCCAACAATTGCATGGAATCATATTTGATGATATTATTTATACATACACTAGTAGCATTACTAATATAAATAATGCCTTTGAATTTCTACTGCAACTAGTCAGACCCTCAGTCTAGAGCCAAGTACATTCAAGTCTGACATAAAAGTTAGAAATGATTATTTTAACAACAGTGTCACAGCACATGGTATTTTATTTTATGGTAAAAACTGGTATTTTGAAAGCTAATATTCAAAGCGGGTCAGTCCTCTCCAATTAAAATTATTCTACCTGGATTCTCTCTCTGATTTGGCCATTTGTTTAGCAAGGTGAACAGATTAAATGAATAAATGAAGATTAATAATTAAATATAAATTTTGATAAATCAAACAGTACCTCAGCTTCACCTTATATTAATTTTTTTTAAAATAATGCAAATTTTCCATGGCTGGACATTTGGCCAATGGACATTTCATCGACTAAATACAAGTAAAAATAGTAACAAGCAATACTTTAAGTATTTTAATTAGCAGTATTATAAGGTAGAATAGGACTAATAATTGTATGTTAGTGTACTATGAATATATTGGTGTGAGCAATTGTTCATAGAAAATCCCCTATTTCTCAGCGTTGACAAAAGGTCATATTTGATAAGGTACAATGTATGTCCTTGTTCTCAATTCTGATTAGGATGCCAATTTTCAAACTGTTAAGTTGGATTCCACCCAATTACAACTGAATCTCAAGTGATTAATTTAAAGCCTGTCAACAAAAACGAAAAATTATAAATTAATACAGTAAATAAATATAAATATATGTAGCACATATTGAAGAAATTAAATAGAGAATTTAATGCTGAAGAATATTCAATCTCACCGTTTCGTTATGCTAAACAAGATCAACACCATTACTCTTTTTCTTAAAAAAAATTACGATAAAGAGTATGACATGTAAGTATGCAACATTTTCGGCTAAATGTCTGTTCGGTTAAATGTCCGTCAGTCAAATGTCTCTCGGCCAAATTTTCTTACAGAAAGTAGTTTTTTTTTTTCCTACAAACAAGAAGGAAATAAAAGAAACATTTTCTTGTCTATTTTCTTATGTGAAAGAAATCACTATCCATGTTTTATCATGTCTCTGTGGTTTCTCTCTCTCTCTCCCCTTAATCCTTATTTCTCATGGTGTGTGAAGTCCTTTTTTTCTGTCTGGCTTCCAGACCATCAAATAAATGTAGATAATCTTGTTAGGAAAGTGCTTAAGAACCAACTTCTCTTCTGTTGTTTCCATAAAAATATGAGTAGATAGGTTTGCCTACCATCCGGTTCACACTCCTCCCCACTCTTTTGAAAAGTTGTAGAGGTTTATCCCTTGTTTCCAGTTCCTTCTAAAGTTTTCTCATCCTCTTTCATTCCCAGTAGCCCCTTGCATTTTAGTGGCATTAAAAAATATTAAAATTCAATAATTAGCAGATTTGTAAATTTCTTTACTTTTTTTTTGTTATAGACCTCCAAGAGAAACTTAAATAGAAATGCCATTAATTCAACTTTAATGTTTTTTTTTCTTAGAAATTCTAAACTGATTTCAGATAATACATCAGTGTAAAACTTGTATAAGCAAAAATAAAACAAAATTTCATAGAAAATATTTAAGCTTTTGAAACCATACAAAGACTTAAGTTTTGGGTTTCTTTTTCTGTCCATAAGCAATTTTTAACACCTTTTTAACTAAACAGAAGAAAAAAATATATTTTGGCCTGTATTAGCTACAAAATAAAAAATGAAAATTTTCACAAGGGGGAATGGGAAAGAAATATTTGGACACTTGCAAAATATTTAATATACTTTGAATAATGACATTTACTTTAAATTCATGCAGATGTTGAATAATCTATATTTGAATATAAAATTAAAAATTTCTTAGAAAATATGAATTAAATCAGTAAGAATGGAAAAAAAATGTTCAGGCACATGATACTATGGTACTTGCACATTTGACTGACAGACATTTGACGAATGGACATTTAGCTGAAAATGTAGTGGTGTACTTACATATATGTCACACTCTTTATTCAATGTACTACAGAAAAATCTTAAGTTTTTATGATATGAAAGATCTTTCAATTTCACTTTTAATAATCATTATCTTAAAGGAATGAACTGGCTTTTATCTTACTGTTAAACATGAATTTAAATAATTAGGTGCTACTTTTTACCCAAATACACTCAAATATTTTTTAAAATACTAATTTCAATAAACAAATACTGAAATAAAAAAACTTTTAATTTTAAATTTAGTAATTGAAATTCAGTGGCAATAGTCCTATTCTATCTTATAATACTGCTAATTAAAATACTTAAAGTATTGCTTGTTACTATTTTTACTTGTCTGGCCACAGATACTATTCAAAATGCATCATCAAAATATTATTTAAGAAGGAATCCAGGTTTAGATCAAAAACTTTTGCAATCTTCCCACAATCCTTTATTACGGTATAATGTTCATCATTGGTTACTTTATCAAGGAGGTGGTCATGACTAAAGTAATGAAGGTCTGAACTAAACAAAAGAAAAGATGTATTTAAACAATATAATGAATCTAAAGGGTCATTGCTAAGATTTTAAATATTTCTCTCATTATCATCGGATTGCTTATTCTAAAGTGGAAATAGTTTGGTAACACCAAAAATCTTTCTAGCACCCCACAGAAAATTTCTTCACATGCTACTTAGAAAATGCTAAGAAAAGTCAAAACAAATTCAATTATCTTTTGTACATAAGTAGAGGTTTAATCCTGGTTTTCTGTTTAGGACTGGGTTTTTAGTTCCTTCTGAAGTCTTCTCATTCTCTTTCACTCTTTCAGTAGTCTCTTGCATCTTAGTGGCATTATCGCCTTCCTTGGGGTGAATTGAAAAAACTCAAAAGAAGATCCAAGATTATTTAAGAGACACACTAACATTGGTTAGTGAAATAACTAATAGTAACAAAGCACACAATTGTCGTCTTCTATGTGCTGTGTAACTTCCAGATGTTGCCGATCATGACTCTCCACAATTTCCTGTCCTTTGTAGCTTTTTAAAAATATTGTCTTTTTGCTGCCTCTCCCAAACCCTGCTTTTCAATTCATTCAAGCTTGCCAGATAGGTTATGTGCTGTTTTCCTCTTTCCAACTTGCCTTCACTCTCTCCTGTGAGTATCAAATTATCCAAGCACTCTTTCTTCATTATATGCCCTATAAATTTCAAGTGTCTCTTCTTGATGTTAAGTATAAGCTTCCTTTCTGTTTCCAGTGCCTCTAGAAATTCATTGTTGCTTTCATGTTCAGTCCATTGTATTTTCCACATTATTCTATACAAATACATTTCTGTTGCTTCAAGTGATTGTCCAGCATTCACTGCCATAGAGAAGAACTGATACTACATAACAGTTCAGTAGTCTTTTCTTTGTTTCTAACAAAATTTTACCATTTCTTAATACTTTGCTTAGCTTCTGGAAGGTATCTTTCACTATCCCAATATGCCTCTTCAATGTGATATAATGGTTAGCAAGCTTGTCTTGCTAGATAAATTATGACTAAGTAGTAAGTTCAATTCTAATTGGGTGGTCCATACTTTCAGCCTTGTGCCACATGTAAGCTATGCTTAGTAAATTGCTATCCCAATTCTACTTCAGATTTCAGTGTCACATGGTGGTGCATGGTAATATTTGGGGGGCATGTGTAGGATGTGCACCCTTCGGTTTACTATACCAACAGAATAAGGGGGCAATTCGAGAATGAGTTATTAACAGTGAATTGTTTTCTAGTAAGCTCAAATTTCATTTTGCATTATCACGATTAAAATGATCAAAGTATATTACAGAATAAGCTTTCATTCAAATATTTTATATTTCTGTCTTTCAGTTCCCTATTATATGTTTTCAAAATATATATATATTTAACTGTCTTTTTTGTTTTTTTAATTTTTCTCTTTCATGGACACCATGGTCTTTGGGGGTTTGTTTAGAGACCAAATTAATGGCCTTTTAAGTTTCCTTCACATGGATTGCAGTAAAATTTTGAATATGTAAGAATTAAATATTTCAGGGGCAGGGGCACCAGAATTTTAGAAATACCAAAGTGGGTCATGGCCCAAAACCGGTTGGGAATCACTGACTTAGAGAAACAAAATTAGTTTTAAAAGAAAATTTCTTTGATCAGAAAAATTGAAAACAGAACTTTCTAGTCAAAAAGATAAATACATCTGTGATTGAAAAAAAAAATTCACCATCGCCACAGTAAAGCCTAGAGGTAGAACCATCATGATCTGGGGAAATTTTTTTTTTTTTTTTCAATGGTACAGGAGCACTTCACATTTTTTGAAGGAATCTAGAATAGAGCAAAGAATTTTGGAAGCTAATTTGTTCTTTTCGGTACAACAGTAAAACCTTGAACACAATAATAACCTGAAGCATATAGTTAAAATAACTTGAGAATTGTTCGTTTGATAAGAACAATGCCAAGGTGCTTCAGTAGCCAAATCTATCTCCCTGACTTAAATTGAAAATTTATGGTAAAACTTGAAATATCAAATTCAGCAAAGGGAGTTCTGAAACATTAAAGATTTGAACCCATTTCTAAAAGAGTGGGTCAAGATCTCAAAAGAATGTTGCACAGGGCTTGTGAAGGGTTACAAAAAAAAAAAATGTACCCAGAGAGTAATTAGAAATCAGAGCTATGTAAGTATGTATTAAAGCCTGAAATCAATGCATCCAATTTTTTCTTAGAATTACTTTTATTTATATTTTATCCTGTATTGTATGTTAGAAAATTTTTATATAGCAAATGCATCACCTGCATCAGAAGCATTATATATATATATATATACATATATATATATATATATATATATATACATACATACATACATACACCGAGTGTAACAGCAAAATTGCCCAAATGTTAGATTAAAATTTGAGCCATTGTATCTTAGAAATAATTAAAGATATCTTACTGGAATTCTCCAAGGTTGTTATAACAATAGTGGACTCTAGTTTGACCAATAAGAATGTATAATTACTCTCCAAGCTTAACAGAAGAATTGCGATGAAACCAATCATAACCGAAAATGACATGTTCATTATTAATTAATCATAGCTATGATTGGAAGCTCATAAAAGATTAAAATAAAGTTCATATATATATATATATATATATATATATATATATATATATATTATTCCAGGGTTATTTTCTTACTTATTCAAGACAATCTTCACCCTCTCTAACCTTCTAACTTTCTGTCCTGAAGTAACAAGATGCCTCACAGGTTTCAAGTACAATTTCATTTCCAAGTCTTTTTTCACTGCTCTTTGGACTGTCATAGCTGAAACTTCTCTCTCACATGCCAAACGTCTTATGGATTGAGTTCAAACTTTTCTAATTGATCACTTTAGCGTTAAGTTAAAATGACGATCATTCTTCCTGTTGTGACCACCTGATCCAGTTTTCCTTTCTACTGTTCCCTCTTTTATAAACTTGTTCACCGTTCTCTTGATGGTTCTTGAATGGACTTTTTTCTCTCACCATTGCTCAGTTGGGAGGACAATGGGGCTGATACAAAACAATTTTAACCTGTTCTTTCTATATATATATATATATATATATATATATATATATATATATATATATATATATATATATATATATATTATTCCCTGCACTAAAATACACAGTAAATAAAAAGGATTTGGATTTGTATGCAATAAGTGATTTTATTCACACCAGTCAAGAAAATATCATTTCTTTTATGACACAGAAGAAAATAAAAACAATATTTTCTGGTTTACAGACATGATGAATTTAAAATTATATATTATTTGCTGAGGCAAGTAATGCTGCTAATTTAAAAAAAATAAAAATAAAAATTAATTCCAGTGACAATCAGACTGTCATAATTTTTATAATTTTCAAAAATTAAATTAAATTTTAAAAAATATCAACCATTCCTTATTTTTTTTAAATTTTGAATGTCCTAAAAGTTCTGTGTTTAAAAGAAAAGATATTTCTGCAATATGGCATTAGTGTAAAAATAACCCAAATAAAAACAAGTGTTCACCTTATAAGGAGAAACATATTTTCCTTCCACAGTAACATCTCCAGTTGCATTTAGCAAATATTCTCTTGGAATCCTAAAATTGTTGAAAGACATGAATCTGGAACAAGAAGGAATCACTGAAAATTAATTTCATTGACAAAAGTTTGAGAAAATAATGTTGTCTTTTTAGAAACAGAATAAAAAAAAATATTTTTCAAGAACATCATTATGAACAATTTAGCTAAGTGCACAAAGTAACTAATTCTTTTGCTCCTTGTTGAAACAATGAACAAATTAAAACTGTCAACATCTAAAGCATATCTCCAACTCAACGAGTTCTTGTAACAGTTTTTACCTGAAAGCTCTTAGAATAAAACAAAATATTTACAGAAAATATTTCTCATCAATAATAACTGACAACAAAGAATGCCCAGCTTTGGTTAGCAAAAATTGTGCCATTCTGAAGAGCACAAGCACAGAAGAATAATGTTGGAAGGAGCAACCTCTGCATTCCTAGATTTAATGCTTTCAAATTTTCATTTATTTGCATGAGAATGTATTTTTAAATGTGAAAGATATCAATTCAAAATTGTCCAGAATCCCAAAGATTATTCAATGGCTTAAGAAAATGTTTCTTTTATTTTTTATCTACTTGATCTGGAAGAAAAATATGCCAAGTTGAATCCAATTTGTTTGAGGAAATCAGAATGTTCAGCAATTAAACAGAAATTGATTTGTGCCACATCAGTGACGTGTTCATGAACTACAGAGTAAAAAAGCTGGTAAACATTCTTTAAATGTGGGGGAGGACATTATTTCTGCCAGAGGTTGAAATCATTTTCAATTCATTTACATTATGTATATAGTAGCCCTATTCTGTCGGTAATTCTTGCATTACTTCCTGATTTTCATTAGCCAAGTGCAAAAAAAAAAAGACAAAATTCAGTGTTTATTTTTTGAATCACAAGGATCATATTGTTGAAAATTCAATGATTAAACAATGAATTTACACATATTTAGTTTATGCAGAAAATGGTTAAAGCCAAATGCATCTGGGTGATAGTAGCACTAAAATCACATTAAGAAAAAGAAAACCTGCCAATAATATATATATATATATATATATATATATATATATATATATTAGGTCATATCTTTTTGTAACCCTATGTTCCAGTGTCATAAATCGCTGAAGTTTTGTTCAAAAGTAATGAAAAAGCATTAATTTATTTCAGTTCTTAAAAAAAGGTCACCTCTAAAACAAAAATTTGACTTTATCATATATGCAGCAAGGGTAAAAAAAAAAATTCAAAATATTTCAAAAGCTTTATTTTTCAATTTTCTAATGATGTAATTGGATAGTACTTATGTATTTTTTAATGCATTTAGTTTATAGATATAGCATAATATACAAACTTACAAGTAAACAAAAACAAGTTCCAGAAGGTTCTACATAGTCATAGTACTACTATACTTCGATACAATTTTAGAAATTTTGTGTTGACAGCGGTGACATTTTTTTTTAAATAAACTGAATTAAACTCTTCTTCATTATTTTTTTTAACAAAGTTCATCCACTTACAATACAGAAAATCAATTGTTTTACAAAAAGTAATACTCCTAATATACCCCTGACATCATACATTACAACTCTTAGACAGGGTATCAGAGATTATATAAATATCTAAAATAATTAAACAGCCAGATATATACATCAATCCTCACCCATTGTCAAGTCCATCAAGTCCTAATTTATGGCCCATGTCTCCAACCAGCACTCCAGGCAAAGCCCTTAGTGTATATACATCTCGGATGGGAACAAGGAAGGAATGTAAGCCATGATTGATGCCATCTGCAGTGTACAACTGAGCATAGACTATGGCATGAGTTGCGTTCTTACCAAGATTGCCAACCCACACTTTTGTGGCCTCAATGTTTGGTGTGTTTAACACAAATTCCTGAATATTGAAAAGAAAAGAAGAAAAAAAAAAGAACATTAGCTTTGTTTAAATTTAATGCATCATTAAAGTCAGAAAGAAAGAAATGCAAATTTATTTCAAATGATAACAATCAATATCTGTCTATATTTCTGAGATGAGGTATTATGTACATTATTCGGACTATTGTCCTCATCTTTGTTGCCTTATTTATTACAACGTTTCAGCCATTGTACACTCCGGCCTTCTTCAGGTAGTTGGAATGAACTGAACCCGCTATTTTGCTCATTGGGGGACACAAACCTAGTTCCACGTGCCATGTCTAATGGATGTCGTTATCACTTATCTCCTGGTAATTCCCCTCTCCACTGCCTTAACCGGGTATTGAACTCACACTCAGGACACATGGCACAGTGGATAAAAGGCGTTAGTTAGATCAGTGACAGGACTCAAAGTGTAAAAGTTCAAGTGGGATGAAATTGGAGATTGGCGGGAATTAACAGGGACATCCATTGCATAACACCTGGAACTGAAACAGTCTACTAATCCAAGGTTCAGTCGACATTCAACTACCGAAGCCAGAGTGTGCAATTTGCTGAAATCGTTGTAATGAAAATAAACAAAATGATGACAATAGTCCGAATAATGTAAATAATGTAGATAACGATCAATACAAACAACGTTTTAATAAAGGTAAAGGGAGAGCACTCTGCAACAAAGCAATTGTTTTCAATGAAAGACAGAAACACGGAATTTACCAAATTTAGTGTCAATATAAAATTATCAAGAGTCACTGATAAGATAATAAAGACATTGGTAACTATGAACCTATCATGTTGCTATCAAGCATATACAAATTATTCTCGAAAGTACTTAAAAACGGACTAACAAATACTTTAGATAATAACAAGTCACTAAGAAGAAAATGTTTAGGAGCGATTTGATCGTAAGGTCATCCACAATAAATTTGTGCCCTGGCTCTAACAACATTTCACCATACCTGGCAGATTTTTTATTATCACAGTGTAGGATATCTAATAACAAAAGTAATGGAAACAGAAAGAAAAAGAATCTAAATGAAATTGGCCAAATAATAAAAAATAATTTTTAATTTTAAATTCCCAGCATCCATTGTTTATGCACACGTGTTGTCACACCAATGTAACAAATTTAGTCTGATGAAGTCCTAAAGGACAAAATGCATCACACAAAAACTTTACCCACTTTAACATACATTTTTCCCCTCCTCAATATATTCTGTGGAGTAAATAAAATACCCCCAGTAACACATCCGTCCTGGGTATGACGATAAACTACATCCGTGTCCTGGGTAAGACGATAAACTATGTCCAACAGCAAGGCCTTTGATCAGGAGGTTTTGAGGAGCATGGAACCACCTTTTAATTACTGGCCTTCCCAGGTCCCAGCTATGTTAGGGTCCCAGCTATGGGCAAATAGTTGACACCCAAACGTGTGTAAAAATAGGTTTTAATACCAGAAATACTTTGTAATAAAAAAAATATTACCAGCAATAATTTTTGAAGGAAAAATTATCAGTAATACTTTAAAAAAAAAATGTACTAGCAATAGAAACAGCTATACATTCTTTAAAAAAAATATTACCAGCTATAGATTTCTTCAAGGAAAAATATTCCCAGAAATAGATCTTTGAAGAAAAACATTACCAGCAATAAAAATTTTGTTGGCATTAAATAACCCATTGAGGTTGATATGCCATAAAACAAACCAAACCAAACAACACAAATGAACTAGACAATACACCTTAAATAAAGAACTCAAAGTGAGTCATTAGAAGTCCATTGGTGTTAATCAGAAAGAATTCTAATGGTAAGCAACTTAAGCAAGACATAATATTATAACCACTAGGAGGGAGTTATAACTATATATATATATATATATATATATATATATATAATTAGTTTAAAGTGGAACTGGCCTAATACGTGTTAAAAGGCATTTGAAGAAATCAAGAAAATACTAACATCAGACTTATCATTAGCACACCTATGATCCAAAAGCAGAAATTGTATTGGCTTCAGATGTTAGTGACTATGATATAGGAATATTACTTCTACATGAATATGGCATTCTGAGTATGACAATAAACTACATCTGTATCCTGGGTAAGACGATAAACTACATCCAACAGCAAGGCCTCTGATCAGGAGGTTTTGAGGAACATGGAACCACTTCTTAATTGCTGGTGTTCCCAGGTCCACCATGACCCGGGGTGGTAGCACCTGTTAGGGTCCCAGCTATGGGCAAATAGTTAACCCCAAAACTGAGGTAAAAAGCATTATAAAAATTTAAAAATAGGTTTTAATACCAGAAATACTTTGTAAAAACTTATTACCAGAAGTAAGCTATTACCAGCAATATGTTTTTGAAAAAAAGACTATTACCAGCAATACGTTTTTGAAAAAAAACAAAAACTATTACCAGCAATACGTTATTGAAATTAATATTACCAGCTATACATTTTTGAGGAAAAAATATTTCCAGAAATAGATTTTTGACAAAACAAAAATATTACCAGGAAAAAAAAAAAAGAAAAAAAGTTGTCATCATTAAATGACCGATGAGGTTGATATGCCATGAAACAAAACAAAACAAACCAAACCAAATCTACATAAATATGATGACAGTAACATGAAAGCTGTTGTACATGCTTCATGTTTACTGCTACTAACAGGAAAAAAACTATAGCCTGATTGAAAAAGAGGCATTAGCAATAATATTTGCAGTGAAAAAATTCCACAAATTTATACACAGAAGGAGTTTTTATTTACAGATGGACCACAGACCTCTATTATCAAATTATGGTTTGAAAAAAGGAATTCCTACATATACAGCAAGAAGATTACAATGCTCAGGTACCATCTTATTAAATTACACTTTCAAGATGGAATACCAATCGTCAAAAAAAGTTAGGGCATGCTGATGATTTATCAAGATTGATACCAAAAAATACTGAACGATTTGACAACACTGTTATTGCAGCATTAAAAAGTGAAATAGAAATTAAAAATATATTATGCAATGTAGTATGCCAACTATCAGTTACCCTGGAAGAAATAAAAGTATCATCAAAAGTCAAATGAACAAACTGAATGGTTTGTGGGTACTTTTAAGAGAGCTTTTAAAAAAGCAATTACTGAAAAAGGGAATGAGAAGCACTACAAAAATTCTTGAGATTATACTGGATAACGCCAAATCCAAATAAACCAACAGGTATGTCACCAGGTTAAAAAAAAGAATAAGAACGTATAAGAAAAAGGACACAAAATTTTTCAAAACTGGCAAAAAAGTGTTTTTCAGACTATATAATAATGGAAAAGAAATGCTGGAAGACAGTGTAATAAGGTCACAAATTGGAAAAATGACATATGGTAAAAGGTAAAACATGAGAACACAAAAGTCATTGTAACCAGTTAAAGAAAAGGTTTACAAAAAAAAAGGAAAAACCTATGTAAGTATTGTATGATATTTCTGAAGTACCAATGCCCTCAGAATTCATTGAATATACAACGGAAAAACTAGAGGTTGGCCCAAAACGAAACAAATACTCAGTTCAGAATGATGGAGAACTTGCCAGAAAAAGGAGGGGTTGAAGACTAAGAAATAAAATAAAATATTTACTAAAAAAAAAAAAAAAAAAAAAAGATCTTAAAAGGAGGAATGTTGTGGAGTAAATAAGTCATTAATTAAAAAAAAAAAAATGAACCAGGCAAGACTTTCTGTCCAATGAATGAATACTGTTAAAGATTTGAATTTGTCAGGGTGTGTTTGTGTGTGTGATGATGATGATGATGATTGCTATAACATTAGTAGAGGTATAATTATAAAACAAAAGAAAAAAAAAGAAAAGAAGGTATTTGTTTGGATTAATAACAATAAAACTGCTGTCAACATTTCAGAAAAGCAGAAAACAACAAAGATAATTAAAATAACTCCTGGGTTAATAATGATTTTGTTAGATTGCTTACTTGTGTTTTAGGCTCATAAGTTGCTGTCGTCTCCATGGCTCTTGTGTTACTGCCATGACCCATTTCAGTAAGGGCAAAACAACCAAATATCTGAAAAAAAAAAAAAAAAAGACAGAAAATTATGTAAACATTCATATTTTTTCTTTTTCTTTTTTTTTATCAGTTCTTTTAGAATCAATAACAAAGAAAGAAACCATCAAACAATAATAATAATAATAGTATTCTAAAGCTCACATGTTTGGTAGTTTTCCACTTCCAAGCAGAAGTTCTCTGTCTACCTCATTATTATCAAAAGAATAAATATAGATACCTCACTTTATATCCATATATAAATGAATAAACTAAATAACAAACGTTTTTTTCTAAAGAAATTTAAATTTGTCTAACAAGCCAAAATTTGAACAAGTAGATTATGTCCTCATATATGTGGTTGGAATTTTCCTGTATTTCAACTCCATCCGCCTAGAGTGTATTGGATTCCTGTTGGAGATGATGGACTTAACTTGCAAATTTGCATTTTTTTTATATTGAAAATAATATTTTTCACATTTTTATTTTTACTAAACACATAACCATACTGTAGTAATTAATAAGGAAATCATTTTTAAGCATGAAAGAGGAACAAGTGTTCACCAGCAAAGTTTGTAGTATGAAATGGCACAATTGAACATTCTGCACCATCCTCAAAAAACAAAGGCAAATTGAAAAGAGTTTCGGAGGTTAAGCAAATAAGCAAACATAATCACGTAGTAATTTTATTGAAGAAATGGAAAATTTGCTTTTGCTTTGGATTAAAGAAAAGAGAAATTGCTGGTAATAATATAAATGAATCAATAATTTATGCAAAGACCTGAGAGTTATTGGATGACCAGAGAGCTAATACTTCCAGTGGAAGTGATACTACATTGGTGAATCTTCTTGCTTCAATTTATTTCTTTATTTATTATGTATTTACTTTGTAGTGACACTAAGAGAAGAAACAGGAAGTTACCTCTTTCATAGCTTAAAGCATAATGACATATTTCAGGCTTTGCACACTAGGCTCCTCACATAACTTCGAGTTGAATTTGATTAAATTACAATCCTAAATAAATATATGTTGACCAATAAGAAATGAGCATGCCTGAAATAATCAACAACTTATTTGGAGCCTCTTTCAACTTCACTAACAATATAAATAGACACCTGTCTAAAAGAAAAAGAGATTAAAACAGGAGACACACAGGGAAAACACATAGACAAACACTTACAAGTGTGAGTAGATGCATCAAAGACATCTCAGCTTTAACAACCACTACCCACTCCTCACACCTTTCATGTCATTTTCACTCCCCACCTTTACTTCTCTCATACTCAACCTTCTTTTTCTTATTCACAGGACATATTACCAAATCAAACTAGCATTTCTCAAAGACACTTAAGTATTTTTACAAACTCTTGTATTCAATGAAATGCAAAAAAAAAAGAAAAAAAAGATTTTATTTAATCTTACTTAAATACTAACCTTGTGCCATCTATGAACATTGCTACTGTTTTTGTACAATATGAAACTGTGACGAAAGACATGACTTACCTCAGAATTTGAAACGAGCGCGAATGTGTCTTGCCTGCAAAGTGATGACAATGTGACACTATTTAGCTATGGTAATTGGCTAACTAATTAACCATAGAAATTAAAAACGGGAAATCCTTAAGGCGAGAAAGAGCTAAATCAAAAGATAGACTGAGCGACATTAAAAAGACGGAATTTATTTTATTTACAAAAGAAAGATACTTTTCGCAAAAGACAGAAAATCTGTAAGAAAAAGCAAGACTGTGATTCTGTCAAAATTAATTAATGTCATGATAAGGGGGTGACGCACCAAACGAAACACAATTCTGAAAGAAAAACAAAGCCATCTAACGCATGCAACCATAAAAAGAATTTCAGCTTGAGACCATAAAAAGAATTTCAGCTTGAGACCACCACGGAGAATAAGTATTAATTATCTTTCAGAGAAACCATTTAACTTTAATTCCTGGTTCCAGCAAAGGAAGCCATCTAATATATGCACCAATGAGAAGGAAAATCAAAAAAGGGATCATTATTATTGCTTATTCAAACTGTTGACATCAGACATAGCGTCTCGAAAATGAGCATTTGGTGATAAGAGAATTTTAAGACATGAGAAAAATAAAGAATTTAATTATCAGTGGATCGTGATATGCTGATACACGTCTGGAAGGAATTCTTTTATCGCATTGATGTTGCCCGTGATGCAGGTGGTGGCCACATTCAGCACTTGTATGACAAAGAATAAAAGTTGATTGTAAGTAGAATAATTATGGCTGCAGTTTTCTATTGCTTTTCCTTATTAAAATATTGCATAATGAAATCAGTTCATTCTTTTTGAATAACCCTGTATATAAAAGTGTGTGTGTATGTATGTAGGATACCTATTTTAGTGTGTGTATATATATATATATATATATATATATCTACTTGCTTTGATTGATTGATTTGTTTGTTTGTTTTACAGCTTATCAACCTTTTGAAGGTTATTTAAAGCCAGAAAATATTTTTTATTTTAAGAATTTTGGAGGGAGATAATGATTTTCTGATACAAGTTTTACTAATTAACACATAGCTGGGGGAGTAGAGGTGGATTCATAACTTCCCCAAGGGTATTTCCATATAAGTGAATATAACAAACCCAACTGGAATTGAAACTCAAACTTCCGATTTCCAATTCCAAGTTGTTATCCATGGCACCAACTGCACATCCAAGTTGGTATTCCCAAGTGGTCAACCACCTAGGTACTAACTTTGGTAATCATATGATAACCGGTATTTCAACACGATACAGCTATAAGCCACTTGGCCTTGAAGGCTAATTCATTGATGCAATAGATTACATTAGACTAAGATTAATAAATATTTAAGGATACCACATTGCTAGGTAACAATTAAGAAGCAAGATTATCAGATAATTAAACTTATGTAATGAATGATCCTCACTAGATACCCTCACTTGGGGCTCTGGGCTAAATTAATCCAAGCTTAGTAACAATGTACATACACCCAATTAATGTAATAGGAAATTAATCATGTAAGAGTTTGATCTTTTCTGGGTGCCCAACTCCTGTGGCTTCGTATCAAACAAGGTTGTATACAGATATACACATGCAAATCAGAATGAAAAGTCAAGGAACTGAGTTCAAATTCCATTCAAGTTTGTTGCATTCACTTACGCACAAAGACCCTTGAAAAAGGTATGAATCCATCTCTTCTCCCCCAGTTATGGGATGAATAGCGGGACAGACTGGGTTCTATAGCCTTGGTTGGCAACCAGTCTACTGCAGAAAGAATTAGCAACCTACTGCCAGAAAATCTTCAAATTCTCTCTTCCATGCTTTGAGCCAGCATGGAAGAGTAGGCGAATAAAATTAACGAGAATAATATCGCATGTTGATGTGCAGTCTGCAACAAGCAGAATAAGCATTTTTTTTTAAATACATATGTAAGAAGGGAAAGGAAATAATCTACCCAGGGTGAATTGATGCCACAGTAGAAAACAGTTTTGGAACAGTGACGTTTGACTTTTTTCTTGACATTGTCACCTTATTTGGATTTAGGTGACCATCCAGCTGCTAGTGTTGACATAGAAGAAGGAGGATAATACACTTTAAATAAGCAGAAAAGAAAATATGATGAACTAATGAAATCAATAAAGACCACCTCAATTTATATCTATTATTTCTTCTCACACAACAATAAATTAATTTACAAACAACATGGGCAACATCTCAAATGTCTCAAAATACCTGACATATTACTGATTTGTCCCTTACCACCTGAAATCCCCGACATATCCCTGATGTCCTGGAACAGTAGCCATGCTGAGTTACTGAGGACAGCAATAATCACATACCCCAGCTATGGGTTAAATAACAGGGTGCAGTAGGCTCTTTAGCTTTGGGTTGCAGTCAGTTTAGAAGCTAAAAGTGTGAAGAAGGAAACTGGAATTATTCCACTATCTTTCCAAAGAAGTCAATTCACAGATAATAAAGGGATTCAAGTCAATTTAAAAAAGGAATGAGAAAAAAAAAGTCACCTCAAAATTTTTACATTTTTCAACAAAAATCCTGTGTCTTGCACTTCCAGAAGTCTGCAGTACTCCACCAAACATCTGGAAAAAATTTAAGAAATCATACCCATTATAAAACTTGGAGTTGTGTGTGTGTGTCTGTACGTTTATATACTGGATGGATTTCTACATTTTCAATCGATTTCAACAAAAATTTCACAGGACTGCGTAAAATTACTTTGCGGTGGTTCTAACTGCCAAAAATTAGGGAAAACAATTCTTTTTGCACAAAATCAATTTGAAAACACAATTAAGGCATGGCTGTTGCGAGAATGAAAGGGACCTTTCGTGTCGATTTATACTTATAAAACCCAGGTTGTTTGTGTGTGTGTGTGAGTGTGTGCGTGTGTGTGTGTGTGTGTGTGTGCGTGTGTGTGTATATTTCGTTTTATATATGGATCCCGGATTTCCTACATTTTTTCATTTCAACAAAACTTCACTTTTTTTTTGGCGGGTTGTGTTTCTTATTGTCTTGCACACTTTTTCTTTATTTTTTTACATTCAGAATGCTTTAAAAATTCCATTTACAAGACAATTGTTTATAATAAAATTCTATTCAATCGGTAGTTGTGATTGAAAACAATATTTTATTTGAGTTTGGGTTTGACCAATTCATAAAAAAACTAATTAGAAAGACGTACATGTCCGTCAACCTTAAACAATAATCTCTGTCAATTTTATTTTTTCAGTCTTTGTGATGGTGATACTTGATCTATCTCTTACTGGCCCATCCCGAAGACAGCGCGAGGCTCTACTAGTAACCAATAAAGTTGTTGTGATTAACTTTGTTTCAAACATAAAACAACAAATGCAATATTTTCAAAAGAAAAACAATATGGAGGATTCCCTCAACCACGAGGAGTTTTCATTTCTACAATTTTTCATTTTAAGGTAAATGTATTACAATTTTCCACAAATAGAGTTGGTGCAAGAGGCTCAGAGATTTTCATAAGTTAGTATTCAGAAAAATACAAATTTTATTGTAACTTAAATTATGTACAATAATGGATCATATGCAATGTAGGTGAACAATTCAAATAGATTGGTTTGGCTTGTTTATGGCATATCAGCCTCAAAAGGTTATTTAATGCCAACAATTTAATATATATATATATATATATATATATATATATATATATATATATATATATATATATATATATTTTAAGACATTTTTTTATGTTTATACATTCTTTTTATAGAATATAAATATTTAAGTAAATGCTCATTTATAATAAACAGTATTAACAACATTTACCAGCCTGAATATGCGAGAAATTTTCATAGATTCCGAGAGGAATTAAACATGTATCCTATTTACTGATTGAGCCACAGAGGAGCATTTCAGTAACAGTAGAATCAACCTTACTAACTAAAACCTCTCTCTCAATGGTAAAAAGCCGTCCAAGCTACATGGTTCTGTGTAGGATACAGGTTCGATTCCTGTCGAAGGACCTATTTTCTATGAATATTTTTCACATTCATGCCAGTAATACATCCTATTTATTATATTCTTTGTAAAGAAAATCACATTATTTATATATATAATATATGTATATTTTTATAAACAATTAAAAATATATATTCTTTGTAGGGTCCTATGTAAAAAGTTTTACAACAAAAAGGTCCAAATTACATTGTTGGTATCATTCTATCTTTCAATAAAGAATTGAGGGCAATATTTATTATCTACATATTTGGTTTCCTAGTTTTATTTCTGCAAATTGTTTTTTTTTTTTTATCAAGAGTCTAGCTTCATAGATATATATTTTTTTTATTATAAAATCTTTGTTTTATCATTATTCTCTCCGGTTTTATATTTTCTTGTAGAGGCCGATGAGCACTTTTAGAAATGATAGTCTATCATCCACATTTACCTTCTCAAAAAGCTCAAACATGTTATCAGTATTGTAAAATTGCTATCTTGAGATGGCTCGTTCTGGACACTGTCAAGATATGTTTAATGGATAATACTGTTTTACATGCTAGGCACACTGCTTGAACTTCCTTAGTAGGAAAGAATGTATCATTCTTGTATGGCCAATGTACAAGCGTGCCATTATGACCCCCTCTTTTTGAGACTCTGAAAGATGAGTTACTTACTCCCAGCTTGGGTTGGATTGCATAGAGTTTATTATGCGGATAGTCATCCCAGTACTCTTGCCATTTTTTAAAAAATATATTTATTTATCTCCTCCTTAAAATCTGTATATGGGACCTGTATCCACATTCATATCCAAAGCTGGTTTGGCTGCCAGGTCTGCTCTACAATCACCTTTTATTTCCATATGGCAAGGGATCCAACATAATATTATATTTCCCTTTTTGTTCATTGTGTTGATTTTCTGTAATATTTTAATAATTCTTAGATTGTTGGATTTGTTCCCCTCCAAAGCTGATAGAACAGAGAGTGAATCTGATAGAATTAAGAAGTTCTTTAGTTTGCTCTCAGTGATGATGTCTAGAGTTAACTGAATTGCATAAGACTCTGCAGTGAAAACAGAACTTCCCTTTGGGAGGCGTTTCTTTTTGGTAATTTTTTGGCTTACTTCTGCAAATACTATTTTGTCCCCACTTTTTGTTCCATCCGTATAGATTTTTGTACAATTGTGGAAGTTTTCCAATATTTCCTTAGGCTTATTTTAAATTTGTTCAAAATAACAATGTCTTGCTGTGGAGAGAGTTTCTAAGCTTTCCATTAGCACTGTATAATGAAATGAAATTATCTTAGGTTGCTTGTGTATTTTTGCCAGTTTTTCTCAGCTATGAAACTTTTTGCAAAACAAGCATCCTAATATAAGGCAAACCAGAAACATTAGCATGCAAGGCATTGATATTGTTATATGCACACTTATAGTGAATTTAAACAGATAAATTTAAGATTATAAATAATTAGAACAGATTTAAAAATGAAGAATGCAGATTCATTTACAGTTACAATAATTTGGTCTAGACAATTTCACCTTTAGATTGTTATCTTGTAGACTGAACCTACTTGGTTACAAAAAAGGAGAATGCCTTCCTTGATTTTTTCATCTTACTATCAATATATATATATATATATGATATATATAGTATAAAGAGAGAGACAAGATGTCTATGTTGTTATTTGAAACATTTGATGAATTGATCGTGATTACCTATCAATATATATATATATATGTATATATATATATATATATATATATATAGATATTGGTGGAAAATATACATACATATGAAAAATATATAAAAAATTCCCATACATGTATATTTTTTCAGAAAAAAATTTT